TGCCCGGCCCACGCTCGGCCCTGCCCGGCGGTGACCGTGCCGGGGCGACGTGCGCACCCGCGTTCCTGCCGCGAGGCACTGCTGCTCTGTGAGACTGTGGAAAGAACTGGCCGCTCTGAGCGTGGCAGCTGTGGAGACTGTTTGTACCTGGCATATAAACAGATGCCATCTGGGACCAGAGATCTGTTTATTTAGTTAAGAGATTTCTTGGCTCCCCACCGTGGCCCGAAACACGCGACAGAAGGGCATGTGCGAGACCCCTATGGAGCACTACCCGTCCTGTCCCCACAGCCCCAGCGTGGCACAAATGCTGGTGACTGTGGCTGGACTTCATGTGGCCTGACCCTGGCCTCCCCCTGCCTGGGATGTGCAGGGGAGCAGGCGATGCCACCAGCACGGCGCAGGGCGGCCCCATTCCCGGAGCTGAGCTGGGACCGGGCGAGGCTGCTCAGTCCCATCCTCAACCGCCTTGGCCACAGCAGGAAGGAAGACCATGTGTTTTCCAACAGGAGCTTGAAAAGAAGGCAAGCCGGGGACAGGAGCCTTGCTCTGTGCCTACACTGATGTCCCCCAAGCCACTTAAAGGCATTTGGGGATGCCACGGCCAGGATATTTCTCTGTGTCCCTGCAAGAAAGGACAGCATCCCGCAGGCTCTCCAGCCCTCTCATGTCTAAAGGGAAGGCAAACCCAGCTGAGCAGAGAGGCAGCAGTTTTGTCTCCATGCCGAGTGCTCCAAAAAGCCTTTTTCTTCCCGGATGAGCATGCGCAGTTTGGAGGTGGCGAGCCCTGGGTCTCTCTAAGATCTTGAAGTTGTTCCTGCAGCATCTCCCAGCCTATTTCCTGGCATATCCAAAGCAAGCAGAACAAAGGTTTTGCCCAGGATGGTCTTGGGAAAAGGGAGGAAAAGCCTAGAAAGAAGGATGTTCAGAGAAGGCAGCAGCAGGTTTCTCCAACCCAGATGAAACCAGAGCAAAATAAGAAGTGCATCAAATCCCTGCTTGGCAAAGCTGCAGGAGACAGCACTGGGAATACCCCGTTATCCTGCAGTTACTGCTGTTCTCCTTACAGCTGCCTTCAGCCAGGAGTCCCCATGGGCTTCCCCACGGTGTCTATGAGCACATCCCCATCCCTTCGTGGAGACCCGGGGCTCCTCTGAAGCCAAGTCAGAGGCTCCCTCCCAGAAGCCACGTTCTGCTTTAGGGGCTCCTGGCTGGTTTGCAGAGGGGTTGTTGCTCCTGCCTTCATCCTGCCCTGTCTTTGCACCCATCCCCGGGTCCCCTGTGAGTTTCTTCACGCCAGCCCGGGGTGGTGACAGCAGCCTGAGCTTCGCTCCCGGGTGACGATGCTGCAGGGCTCAGTGACCTCCAGGCTGGGGCACAACGGAGAAGCTGCATGGCAGGATGAGGAGGAAGAGGAGGGGAGAGAAATGCATCCTTCCTCCCAGCCTCAAAATCCTGGACCTC